GCCACACTGGAAGGGGCATCCCCCGAGGCTGCCCGAGTCTCAAGACCAACTAACCCCTGCCCCGACTCCGAAACCGTCAGACATTTTGAAGCCGGAAGCAGGGGAGGGGGACCAGAACGAACAATAGGAGGGGAAGGACCAGGAGGTGTGGACTGAACCAGGGTCGAAGTGACCCCCATCCCCCAAGTCCGGGTCCCTATAAGCAAAACGGGGCAGCTGTGGGGCATCCGGGTGAGCAACAAACCTAGCGCATTGCAACAATCAAAGCCTAGAATGCAACGCATGTGCAGCCTGTACCCGAAGATGATCATCCATAGATTGGGTAAATTGAGTCACCAGCAAGCAAAAATACTCACAGTACTCAAGGTCGAAAGTGTCACCGACCCAACAGGCTGCGTGACAAGAGGCAAAAACAGTGAGGGTCACCCTAATACAAGGTGACCAAACAACCATCAAACTCGCACGAAGGAGGGGGGAACCCCGAGGTCACATCCATCGGACCCACGCGTCCCCTAGGGGATTCCCAGGGTCCTGAGTGTTTACTTGAAGAGGACTCGCACTCAGGTAAACCCAGGCAGGGTACTGCCAACTGGCGCCCAAAACTACCAAACAAACTGTCTAAAGCTGAACCCCAGGGACGTGTACACTCACGGGGACCAAGCAGGGGGCACAACCAAGTATCAGGGTGAGGCCAAACACCAGTGGCAAATAGGGCAGAACCCCCCCACCAAGGCAAAAACAAAAAGAAAACAAAACCCCGCAAGAGGACACTATACCCTAAGGAACAGAGCCGGCCGCTGTGATAGGTGACAACTAGCTGCACAGCACCCTGCACCCCTACCAGTGTGAAAACTGCCTCTTACCCTAAGGTTAACTAGGGGAGACAAAACCCCCAAGTACCCAAAGAGCGGCTGAGAAACCGAGCAGTAAAACGGACACACAGAGGCAGACCCCGAGGAACTTGTGGAAGGTAACTCCAAGCTGCAAGGGTCCAGTACTTGGGTCCGTGGGTCGCGTGGGTCCGATGGATGTGACCTCGGGGTTCCCCCCTCCTTCGTGCGAGTTTGACGGTTTTTTTCGCGTGTTTTTGACATCCAGTCTCAGAACTGGGGTGTGGATCGCTGGCACGGTAGGTCTGGGGCTGCCCCTTCCCCCTCCCGGGGAGGGTGGGGCCGCGCAGGCAGAGGCACGATGATGGATGATGTCATACTAGTTTGCTCGTTTTTGTTTGGGGAGTTCTATTCACTCGTTCAGCTTTTCGTTGCAATTTTCTCCAGAATAGGGGTTTGTTTTGGGATGTTTACCTTTCTGGGTGCCTAACCCGGTTGATTTTTTTTACCTAAGTGTAGTTGCAGGATGAGAGCTACGCTCGTGGTGTCCCGTCTTCCCAGCACTCTTTGTCATATAATGCTTTGAAACTACTGACGGTCTTGGCCTCCACCACCTTCTCCCCTAACTTGTTCCAACCGTCTATCACTGTTTGCGAAAGTGAATTTTCTTATATTTCTTCGACATCTGTGTTTAGCTAGTTTATATCTATGACCTCTTGTTCTTAAAGTTCCAGGTCTCAGGAAATCTTCCCTATCGATTTTATCAATTCCTGTTACTATTTTGTATGTAGTGATCATATCACCTCTTTTTCTTCTGTCTTCTAGTTTTGGCATATTTAATGCCTCTAACCTCTCCTCATAGCTCTTGCCCTTCAGTTCTGGGATCCACTTAGTAGCATGTCTTTGCACCTTTTCCAGTTTGTTGATATGCTTCTTAAGATATGGGCACCACACAACTGCTGCATATTCTAGCTTTGGCCTAACAAAAGTCGTGAACAATTTCTTTAGTATAGCGCCATCCATGTATTTAAAAGCAATTCTGAAGTTAGAAAGTGTGGCATTGGCTCCTCGCACAATATTCTTTATGTGGTCATCAGGTGATAGTTTTCTATCTAGAACCACCCCTAGATCTCTTTCTTTATCAGAATTCTTTCTGAAAGATTTCTCACATAATATATAGGTTGTGTGGGGTCTATGTTCTCCTATTCCACATTCCATAACATGGCATTTATTAACATTAAATTCCATTTGCCAAGTGGCGCTCCATGTACTTATTTTGTCCAAGTCTTCTTGAAGGGCATGACAATCATCTAAGTTTCTTATCCTTCCCATTATCTTAGCATCATCAGCAAACATGTTCATATAATTCTGTATACCAACTGGTAGATCATTTATGTAGACAATAAACATCACTGGTGCAAGAACTGAACCCTGTGGTACTCCACTTGTGACATTTCTCCAGTCCGATACGTTGCCTCTGATCACAGCCCTCATTTTTCTATCAGTCAGAAAATTTTTCATCCATGTTAGAAGCATACCTGTCACTCGTCCAATATTTTCCAGTTTCCAGAACAACCTCTTATGTGGAACTCTGTCGAAAGCCTTTTTTAGGTCCAGATAGATGTAGTCAACCCAACCATCTCTTTCCTGTAATATCTCTGTTGCTCGATCATAGAAACTGAGTAAATTCGATACACAGGATCTTCCAGATCGAAAACCATACTGTCTGTCTGATATTATATCATTTCTCTCCAGGTGTTCTACCCATTTAGATTTAATTATTTTTTCCAATATTTTGATTATTACACTTGTCAATGATACCGGTCTATAATTAAGGGGGTCTATAATTATATTATATAACCGGTCTATAATTAACCCTGCTTCCACTTTTGTAGATTGGAACTATGTTAGCCTTTTTCCACACATCAGCTACAACTCCTGTAAACAGGGATGCCTGAAAAATCAGTTGAAGAGGAATGCTAAGCTCAGGTGCACATTCTCTCAGAACCCATGGTGAAACTCCATCTGGACCAACTGCTTTGTTCTTATTTAGCTCCTTGAGCATTTTTTCCACTTCGTCTCTAGACACCTCTATGTGCTCTATGTTGTTCTCTGGAATTCTTATTGTATCTGGTTCCCTGAAGATTTCATTTTGTACAAACACACACTGGAACTTTTCGTTTAATGTTTCACACATTCCCTTTTCATTTTCCGTGAATCTATTTCCCATTTTCAACCTCTGAATATTATCCTTTACCTGCAATTTGTTGTTTATGAATTTATAGAATAGACCTGGTTCTGTTTTACATTTGTCTGCAATCTCTTTTTCAAAATTTCTTTCTGCCTCTCTCCTCACTGCCGTGTAGTTGTTTCTCGCATCTTTGTATCGCTGGTATGTTTGGGGGTTCGGCCACTTCCTGTATTGATTCCATTTTTGTGTCTTTTGGTCTCTAGCCCTCTCGCACTTTCTGTTGAACCAATCCTGTTTCCTAGTTCTGCTTCTCTGTTTTGGTATAAATTTTTTTCTGCCTTTATCATATATTTCACAAAACCTGACATACATCTCATTCACTTCCTTGCCTAGCAACAAGTCTGTCCAATTATACTCACTAAAATTTTTTCTAAGGTTGCCATAATGTCCTCTCCTAAAGTCAGGTTTTTCATTTGCATCGACCATCATTTTTTCTTCCAGATTGTAACGCATTGCATACTTTATCCCCAAAAAGACATGGTCACTTTTACCCAAGGGAGGAAGGTACTGAATGTCAAATATTTCTTTCTCCTTCCTGGTAAATATCAAATCTAGCATGGAGGGAATGTCCCCTTCCCTCATCCTCGTAGCTTGTTTAACATGTTGATACAAGAATGTTTCCAGGATGAGGTCTACAAATTTACAGGTCCAGAAATCTTCTGTTTTAGCTTCACATGCTTCCCAGTCTATGGATTTCAAGTTGAAGTCGCCGACTATCAACAGTCGTGAACTATCGTTATCCGCTCTCGCTATGATCTCTCTCATTATTGTTATAAGACCTTCTCGTTTACTATCTAGCTCCTCCTTTGACCATGTGCTGCTTAGCGGTGGACTATATGCATTTATGATCATTAGTTTATCATCCTCATGGCAGATCTCTATTGCTATTATGTCAACTTCTTGTGGATTGGCAGTCACTATTTCATTCTCCTTTAGGTGTTCTTTCACCAGCACAGCAACACCTCCGCCTTTCCTGATTTTTCTGTCCCGTCTCCAAATTGAGTAGCCCCTTGGGAATATGACCTCATTTAAAATAGCATCTTCAAGTTTTGTCTCCGTGAGTGCAACAATGTCTGGTGTCTGCTGCTGTATTATATCACTTAATATAGAATGCTTTCAATTACACGGGGGTTTCTATAGGCCATTGCTTCCCTTGCCTCTCTAGAAGGGGCCAGGTTCTGGCTCGTGGTCCCCGGTAGGCCCATAAGAACTCCATACACATGACTGATGCCAAAGTCTGACATTAGCATAGCAGCCTAGTAAGCTCCGGGGAGCCTCCGGGACGCGCCCAGAAAATGGCGTTTCATTATATTCAAAGCTGGTTTTTTAGCAATATTTTCACTAGAATAGGGGTTTGTTTTTGGGGCGCTTACCTTTCTGACCTAGCCTGACCCGGTCGATGGCAGACTTAGAATATTTCCAACCACATGGAGGGTTTCTATAAGCCATTGCTCCTCTTGCCTCTGAGGGAGGGGGGGGGGGCCCCAGGTTCTGGCTCGTGGTCCCCGTTAGGCCTAGAACTCCATTCATATTGACTGATTCCAGAAATCTAATATATCCATATCAGCCTGGGATAGCTCTGGGGAGCCTCTGGGTATCACCCAGAAAATGGCGTTTCATTACATTCAACGCTGGTTTTTTATGTGTGTAGACAATATAATGGACTCGGCAAACTTCAAAATTGATGTAAATCAGGTCTTTCAATGGGCCACAGAAAATAGCACAATTTTTAATGGAAATAAGTTTCAGTACCTGTGCTATGGGAAAAAGTTAAAATATTAAAATGGAAACCACATATGAATACAGTCAGATCTCACCATAGAACTAAATTCTTTTGGTTATCATTTGTAACTTTCAGAGTGAAGAAATGCTTTATGTGGCACAGTGTAAAATCACTAATGTGTTCTTAAAATTTCCAGGCATGTAGGGATCTGGTTGATGAAGCAAAGAACTACCTCTTACTGCCTCAAGAGCGCCCCCTTATGCAGGGTCCTCGTACCAGGCCGAGAAAGCCTATCAAAACAGGCGAGGTGCTTTTTGCAGGTCAGTTATTATGAATACCTCATGCTATTGCCATTTGTTTGTTTTCTGTCATATTTTTCTTACTTTAGGTTTCCTTTCAGTGCCTTCAGAATGCTTTCATCATTTTGAACTGAAGCTTAACCCCTTAACTGCGTTGCCTCCAAATGTGACACCCCCGCAGTGCGCAGGAAATAAATTCTCTGGAAAAAATTCTTTTTTCTTTTTAAAGTGTCAAAAACCCTTCCCTCAGTATGGGTATGTAAAAAAAAAGTCGAAATTGTACTTACTTTGGCTGCTATGGGGTCCGGAAGTTGGGGCGTGACGTCATCATTCCCCGTGCGCCCGTGCCGTAAGCTCTCGGGAGCGGTGGGGCGCTCGGGGCGGGGCGCGCGAGTTGCAGCGAATATATTTTCGTTCATTTTTTGCACACCTTTCCAAATACATTTTCGTTGTTTTCATGTGCCAATCCAATGTATAATGAACACGTACACTATAATATCTCAGTACAACATCCGTACTGTCCGTAGACACTGTGTTACGTGCATGATACTTGTGTACACATATTTACTATGTATCATGCTAATTTGTGTATATACATGTATACAATCTATTTACACACTATACACTGTCACACACTATATACATTCACCATCAACACATTCAGAACACCGCGTAACAGCTGCTTCATATGGGCCAATAGCAGCTGCCTTGTATGGGCCAATAGCAGCTGCCTCGTATGGGCCAATAGCAGCTGCCCCGTATGGGCCAATAGCAGCTGCCCCGTATGGGCCAATAGCAGCTGCCCCGTATGGGCCAATAGCAGCTGCCCCGTATGGGCCAATAGCAGCTGCCCCGTATGGGCCAATAGCAGCTGCCCCGTATGGGCCAATAGCAGCTGCCTCGTATGGGCCAATAGCAGCTGCCTCGTATGGGCCAATAGCAGCTGCCCCGTATGGGCCAATAGCAGCTGCCTCGTATGGGCCAATAGCAGCTGCCTCGTATGGGCCAATAGCAGCTGCCTCGTATGGGCCAATAGCAGTCCCGCCTTCGGCTGTTTCTGGGGAGGGGGGTCCTGGAGAACTCGGTGGTTGCTCGAGCAGTTCTGCGGGAGTTTGAACTTCATTGTGCTGGTCTACCCGCTGGGATGGGCATGGCTTCGGTGTCTATTCTGGTTCCTTCGGGGACGCCCCTTTCGCTTCTCTTGCGATCGCTGGGCTCGTCCTCCGGGTTCCTTGCATTGGTTGGTGCGTCGCCTGCTTCCTCTTCAGAGTTTTCGGGGTTCACTGCCTTGGCACCTACCCGAGCCCTTGCTCGATGTGTTCATGGATGCGTCGTCTCTCAGCTGGGGCTTTGTGACCATTGCTCACCAGGACAGCCAGGGGCGATGGGATCAGTCCTTCCGTCGGGCTCACAGCATGGTGCGGGAGTTCGCGGCAGTTTGGTTTTCACTTCGGAGGGTTCTGGCTGCTCAGGGTTCGACCATTGAACCAGTCTGAACCAGTCCAGATGGACCAGGCTCCATTCGGACTATTCTCCGGTGGTTCATTGCCTGAACCGCTGGGGTTCTCTTTGGTCCTTGCCTCTTTAGGGGTGGTCGCTTCAAGTGGCTCGTTTGCTGGTTTTGGGGGGTTTGGCTCTCAGTGCGGTTCATATCCAGGGAGTATCCAACGTCCTGGCGGATGGTCTGTCTCTGTTCATTCCTCTGTCCATGGAATGGACTGTTGACACCAACTCCTTCCATTGGCTCTACCAGACATATGGACTCCCAGATGTGGATCTCTTCACATCGGTGTGGTCTCTGCATCTCCTGATCAATGTTGTCGCGGTGGACCCCTTTCGGCATTGGCCTCTGGGGATAGGGAACTTCTTGCTCTCCTCTGGCTCAGGGGTTTCTGCTCTTTCGGTCCCGATGGTAGGATTGTTCGGTTGCAGCCATATCCTTCTCTTCTGGTGAAGAATGAAACGGCTGCTTTCCAGAAGGGTCCTTGGGTCATTGATACTTGGTTGGTCAGGCCAGGAGTGCATCATGTGTTTTGTCCGGTTGCGGCTCTTCTCCGTCATCTGCGTGCTTTGGCTTTGGTGGCTGCTGATGCTCTTTGGGTTGATCCGGTTTCCCGCGTTTCCTGTTCCAGGGCTCGAGTCTCCCAGGTCGTCTGCAGGGTTATTAAGTCTACCCAGCCTTAGGTCTATTCTCGTGCCCATGGCATTAGGAAATTTGTTGCATTGGCTGCCATGTTTGGCAATATGTCTTGGGCTGATATTCAGGCGTGGGGATTTTGAAGGTCAAACAGGGTCCTGGCCGTCCATTATTTGGTTAACGTTCCTGCTCCTGGCATTCCTGTGTTGCTTTGGGTCGCAGGTTGCAGCCAGTTGTCTCGGCTTTGTGTTGAGTTTGTGGCAGCCGTCTCCCGGGTAAATCCCTCTTTTCTCTATCTTTGGTTATGTAGCTCCGGGAAGTCGAAGGGGCTCCCCCCAGAAAACCAGCATTGAATGTAATGTAACACCATTTTCTGGGCAAGTCCCAGAGGCTCCCTGGCAACCCTCCCTCAGAAGAGGGAGGTCAGGTTCTGGCTGGTAGTCCCCGGTAGGCCCATAGAATTCCATACACATGACTGATGCCAAAGTCTGACATTAGCATATCAGCCTATTAATATTAAGCTCAGGTGAGCCTATGAGTCTCACCCAGAAAATGGCATTTCATTACATTCAATGCTGGTTTTTTGGTAATGTGTTTTGGGTTAATATTCAGACATGGGGGTTTTGGAGGTCTAACATGGTCTTGGCTGCCAGGAATCCAGTGAACGTTCCAGGTCCTTTGCGGCCTTGTGTTGTTTTGAGGCTTCAGTCTTCACTTCGAGTTGATATCTGTGGTGTGGCTGCCTTCCTGGTAAGTTTCCCTATTTTGTTTTTCTCTGTGGGTAGTTAGCTTCAGAGAGCAGACAGGACTCCCTAGAGAAAACCAGCTTTGAATGTAATGAAACGCCAGTTTTTGGGTGAACCCCGGAGGCTTCTTGACACCCTCCCTTCCCTAGGGCAGTGGAGTTGATACGTGGTTGATACCTGGTTGATGGGGTTCTGGGAGTAGTTCTACTCCCCAAGCCCGGCCCGAGGCCAGACTTGACTTGTGAGAGTTTTGTCCACCAGGCTGTTGCTTGGAGCGGCCCGCAGGCCCACATACCCACCACAACCCGGTTGGTCCGGCACTCCTTGAAGGAAACAATCTAGTTTCCTCTTGAAAAGATGTCCACGGTTGTTCCTGTAATATTTCTGATGTTCGCTGGTAGGACGTTGAACAACTGTGGACCTCATATGTTTATACAGTGTTCTCTGATTGTGGCCATGGCACCTCTGCTCTTCACTGGTTCTATTCTGCATTTTCTTCCGTGTCGTTCACTCCAGTACGTTGTTATTTTACTATGCAGATTTGGGACCTGTCCCTCCAGTATTTTCCATGTGTATATTATTTGGTATCTCTCTCGTCTCCTTTCTAGTGAGTACATTTGGAGAGCTTTGAGTCGATCCCAATAATTTAGGTGCTTTATCTCCTCTATACGTGCCGTATATGTTCTCTGTATTCCCTCTATTTCAGCAATCTCTCCTGCTCTGAAGGGGGAAGTGAGTACTGAGCAGTACTCAAGACGGGACAACACAAGTGATTTGAAGAGTACAACCATTGTGATGGGATCTCTGGACTTGAAGGTTCTCGTAATCCATCCTATCATTTTTCTGCCTGACGCAATACTGTACTTGCTTGGTTATGCTCCCTAAACGTTAGGTCGTCGGACATGATTATTCATAAATCCTTGACATGCTGTTTTCCTACTATGGGCAGATTCAATTGTGTTTTGCACCCTGTATTATGTTTAAGATCCTCAATTTTGCCGTATCTGAGTACCTGGAATTTATCACCGTTAAACATCATATTATTTTCTGCTGCCCAATCGAAAACTTTGTTCATATCTGTTTGTAGTTTATCAATGTCTTCAGCAGAGGTAATTTTCATGCTAATTTTTGTATCATCTGCAAAGGATGACACAAAGCTGTGACTTGCATTTTTGTCTATATCTGATATGAGAATAAGGAACAGCAGTGGTGCAAGGACTGTTCCTTGAGGTACAGAGCTTTTAACTGCGCTCGGACTCGATTTTACTTGATTGACTGTTACTCTTTGTGTTCTGTTCGACAGGAAATTGAGTACCCAGCGTCCTACTTTACCAGTTATACCCATTGAACTCATTTTGTATGCAATCACTCCATGGTCACATTTGTCGAATGCCTTTGCAAACTCTGTGTACACGACATCTGCATTATGTTTTTCCTCTAATGCCTCAGTGATTTTTTCATAGTGGTCAAGTAGCTGTGAGAGGCATGATCTTCCTGCTCTAAATCCATGTTGGCCTGGATTGTGGAGGTCATTGGTTTCCATGAATCTAGTGACCTGACTCCTGATCACTCTCTCAAATACTTTTATTATGTGGGACGTTAGTGCAACTGGTCTATAATTCTTTGCCAATGCTTTGCTACCACCCTTGTGTAGAGGGGCTATGTCTGCGGCTTTAAGCGCATCTGGTATCTCCCGTGTGTCCAAGCTCTTCCTCCACATTATACTGAGTGCCTGTGTACCTGTGCACCCCAGTATACTGATATTATACTGGGGTGTTTCTCATTAAGAAACTGAAGCTGGTCGGCTGGTTCCCCCCCCCCCCCACCCCCAACGAGGGGAAGGTGGAACTAACTAGCAGGAAACTAGTTTCACTAAGTTTTGGTTGTTTCTTTTCTTCTTGGGGAATTTCTTTTGGCATTTTTTATCATATTTAAACCAGACAGTGGTTTGTTTAGATTCACATATCTTTCTGGGTGCCTTCCTGGTAATGGCAAAGATGATATCCTTTAAATGTAAAGTGATCACAGGCTATTGCTTCCTGCGCCTCTGTGAGGGGGCCAGGTTCTGGTTCGTGGGCCCCCAGTAAGCAAAATGAACTCCACAACTGATAACACTATGGCACTATTTATTTATTTATTTATATACAAGAGTTCTTACATTCTTCTAAATCAATCAAATTATAATCTAATCAGAAGCTATAATCAATGATAACTTCAGGGAGCGTCTGGAGCTCACCTAGAAAATGTCATTTCATTACATTCAACGCTGGTTTTTCTGCTTGGTGTATTATCTTGAGACAGGTTTATTATATTAACTTGAAACTGATAGCACTAATGTATGAACAAAACAAAGGCTTCTTTCAGTATAGGGTACTGTAGCCCATTGGCACTGCTTTGTTGCTTAATATATATTTATAAAGGGGATGGTGCATTTCTGTTTTTTAGATAATTGGTAACATTGTATTGTGAGATATGCCTGACATTGGAATCAGAAATACCTTTCTTGATGGAAAATGTAAAAGCACATGTTATATTGTTTATTTGCTGGATTATCTTTTTGATAAATTAATGAGAATTTTTAACATATTTTAAATGCTGGAAGAAATATTAAAACACACTAGAATGAATTGCATATTTGTTTTGTATTTGTTGTATTTCTTTACTTTTTTGCATGTAAATACATAATTTGATATTTTTTTTGTACACAGACTAAGTGTCACCTTTCATGATGGTCACACACTAAGGTTAAAATCATGTTCCCATGTGTGACAATATGAGCCCATATGTTCATTGCGGACGTTAGAGAACAGTTGAAGTAAAATTATATATGTAGTAGGTGCTGTATGTTCTGCCTGCTGTTCTAGACCAGCAACACAACAGCCTATGTTTTTAGCGCACTTGTATACGTGCTATCTCGCACGTCTTGAGTGCACCTGGGGTGTATCAAAGCTCTCCAAAAGACAACACATGAAGTTTCAAGCTAAACTTTCTAATATGCTGCACTCACCTGAGGTCTATAGAAGAAGAACGAAATCTGATTATGTATTTTGGTTCTACAAGGTAGCCAACTCCATCAAAATATTAAATATGTACCCAACTCAATTAATGATTAATCAACCAATTACTCCATGGGATAACTGGGATCTATCAGTTGATTTTGTAAATGCGCCCAAGAAAGATAGTGTGCACACTACATTATTAAAACAGTTAACACTGAAAAGCATCACTGAAAGTACTCAGAGTATGGGTAACGATGTGTATCAGTGCTATACCGACGGCTCTGTAGAAGAAGGTGGACGATGTACCGGATGTGCATGCAATATATTTGAACAATCTTCTCTCGTACATACAGCAATGAAGCGCGTCAATGACTGGGCAAGTACAACTCAAACCGAACTTGCAGGCATATACCTTGCCACTGAATTTTTAAAAGACAAAGGCAGTGGACTTATATACTGTGACTCGCAGAGTGCACTCCTGGCATTGAACGCACATAGTAGTGACACCCAGAAAATAGTCAGTGATATTCGAATGAATGTTTTAGCTGCTAAAGAAAACAGATTTGAGATTAAATTCCTATGGATACCATCACATGTTGGCATCTCAAGGCATGACACTGTTGATATGCTTGCTAAGACAGCCTGTAGAAAACCAGTGGTAGAAATTGATATGGGTGTTTCATTAGCAGTGACAAAGAGAATACTTAAACAAATATCTAATGAAGATCTCACCGACCTAACAAATTCACAAAGACCTGAAAGTTGTAGCATTAAATATTATGATAGATATCGTGAGGAGACATTCACATATGGGACTAATAGAACAAGAACCCGGCAATGTGATGTTATAGTGGCCAGAGTACACCTGGGATATAGACGTATCTGGCAGCTTTCTCAAAACCCAAATGTTGAGTACACAATGTGTCAACTTTGTGAAAGAGAAAACATGCACTCTCTTGAACATTATATTGTAGAATGTCCCATACTGACTGACTTTCGCCCTCCTGGGCTAAGGTATGCTGGACTCTGTAATTACTATATGAGTACTGGAACACTTGATGATATATTGGACTTGTATCTAAGATTGACCATGTAATATATCAATTATACAATGTATATATATGATGTAACTATATAACCTGAGCTTGTAAAAGCACCTTCATCACCTTCAGTGATTAAGTGCTTAATTGCACACTAGTTTCTTTATCAGCTATCTCACCCTGTCAGAGTAAATGAGACAAATATATGTGAATGCATGTGTACTCACCTAGTTGTACTCGCCTAGTTGTGCTTGCAGGGGTTGAGCTCTGGCTCTTTGGTCCCGCCTCTCGACTGTCAATCAACAGGTGTACAGGTTCCTGAGCCTATTGGGCTCTATCATATCTACACTTGAAACTGTGTATGGAGTCAGCCTCCACCACATCACTTCCTAATTCATTCCATTTGTCAACCACTCTGACACTAAAAAAGTTCTTTCTAATATCTCTGTCTCATTTGGGCACTCAGTTTCCACCTGTGTCCCCTAGTGCGTGTGCCCCTTGTGTTAAACAGCCTGTCTTTATCAACCCTGTCAATTCCCTTGAGGATCTTGAATGTGGTGATCATGTCCCCCTAACTCTTCTGTCTTCCAACGAAGTGAGGTTTAATTCCCGTAGTCTCTCCTCGTAGCTCATACCTCTCAGCTCGGGTACTAGTCTGGTGGCAAACCTTTGAACCTTTTCAATTTTAGTCTTATGCTTGACTAGATATGGACTCCATGCTGGTGCCGCATACTCCAGGATTGGTCTGACATATGTGGTATATAATGTTCTGAAAGATTCCTTACACAAGTTTCTAAAGGCCGTTCTTATGTTAGCCAACCTGGCATATGCTGCTGCTGTTATCCTCTTGATATGAGCTTCAGGGGACAGGTCTGGCGTGATATCAACTCCCAGGTCTTTCTTTCTCTCGGACTCTTGAAGTATTTCATCTCCCAAGTGATACCTTGTATCTGGTCTCCTGCTTCCTACCCCTATCTTCATTACATTACATTTGCTTGGATTAAACTCTAACAGCCATTTGTTTGACCATTCCTGCAGCTTGTCCAGGTCTTCTTGAAGCCTCAAGCTGTCCTCCTCTGTCTTAATCCTTCTCATAATTTTGGCATCGTCAGCAAACATTGAGAGGAATGAGTCTATACCCTCTGGGAGATCATTTACGTATATCAGAAACGGGATAGGTCCAAGTACAGAGCTCTGTGGGACTCCACTGGTGACTTCACGCCAGTCTGAGGTCTCACCCCTCGCTGTAACTCTCTGCTTCCTATTGTTTAGGTACTCCCTTATCCACTGGAGCACCCTACCAGTTACTCCTGCCTGTTTCTCCAGCTTATGCATCAACCTTTTATGGGGTACTGTGTCAAAGGCTTTCCGACAGTCCAAAATAGAGTTAATAGATTATACAGTGTGTGTGTATATATGTATGTATATGTGTATGTGTGTGTGTGTATGTATATGTATGTGTATAAAGTATATATGGAAGCTGATCAGAATTACATTTCACCTTTGTGAATGTACATTAATGACACTATGTAAAAGACACATCAAACACTTTATGTAGGGCATACGTAAATCTGTGTATCTATGTATTTACGTATGTAGGTTAGCTTAGCATTTTAAAAGCACCGAATCACCTTCTGTGGTTGCGTGTTCAATAAACCCTTGAACTATATGTTTAACACTTCTCTAACCCTGTCCATGGAGGACAGAAGAAAATGTATATATGCTGGTTAGCATTGTAAATGTGTGGCCACGTCTGTGGTAGAAAATAATGATAATAAAAAAAAAAAAACTATGAAGATCAGAGGTCCACGAGTGTTCAACATTCTCCCAGCAAGTATACAAAATATTGCAGGAACAACCATGGAGTTTTCAAGAGAAAATTAGATAGTTTTCTTCAAGAAGTACCGAACCAACTGGGCTGTGGTGGATACGTGGGTCTGCGGGCCGCTCCAAGCAACAGCGTGTTAAACCAAGTCATGCTTGGATTTGGATTGGGCTTGGGGAGTAAAACTCCTAGAACCCCATCCAGGTACATACGTTCTATGTCGCATGTCATGAGTGCATCCTAGATACCGTATATGTGCTATGTCGCACATCGTGAGTGCATCCTAGGTACCGTATATGTGCTATGTCGCACATCGTGAGTGCATCCTAGGTACTGTATATGTGCTATGTCGCACATCGTGAGTGCACCCAAGGTATACGTGCTTTCTCACACTTGATGACAAGAACTCCCAGGCCCTCCCTTAAACTTAAAAAATGTGTGCGTGTTTTATTTTTTATATTCTCTAAAAGGAAGAGCTTCTTCTTGCCTTATTCTTAATTGTTAGGAAATTATCTTAATTTGTGTAACAAATAAGAAAAAAAGTGATGATTATTTTTGCTCCTAATTTTTATTTTCGTGGGTCTCTTGCAGTTCCATTTCAGTCATTTGACCTAAATATAATGACTGGATTTACTTCAATCAATGAGATTTATCTTTTTCATGTAAGCTTTCTATTACAGTTTCCCCCAGTTATTTTGTACCCTGTAATTTGATAACACTAACTGTGTAAAAGCAGAACAGCTTCAAAGTTCCATTAAGATTTAGTTTTACATAAAAAGATAACCTCCCTCCCCCATCTCCCTCTAGTTTCATTCTGACTGCTGTGTTTGTTACATTGTTTGCTAAAACTTGGTTTGTGGGTTTACTCAATGGCATATTTAATGTTGGCCACATGCACCAAAATTTGCCTGTTGTCCACTTACCCTGTGCCTTTATTGGTGTTTTTTCTGTTATTTTAAGTTTTATTTGTCTTCACAAGGATTCATTAGATTCTTAAATTTAATTATATGAAATATAATCTTTTTGTTTTTGTAATGCAATAGTTCATTGCTATTTTGTATGTAATAGTGCCACTTCATTTGGTTTTTCAGTTGGTGGGTGGTGTAGTGGTGATGCCATAGCTTCTGTTGAGAGGTTTGAACCTACAACCTGCGAGTGGCGGATGGTAGCTCCAATGAGTAAACGACGTTGTGGAGTTGGAGTAGCAGTCTTATCTGATTTGCTTTATGCTGTTGGAGGACATGATGGACAATCTTACCTCAATAGTGTTGAAAGGTATTGTCTGCTACTTTTTTATTTTACAACTATAGTGTTTTTATAATGCAATTTTTTTTTTATATGATTACTTTTTAGCTACAGCTATCATTCTTCACATTAGAATTAATAAAAGCAACAATTGATGCCTACCAAGAACTGATAATGCTTAGCTCGAAGTTATGATGCACGAGAGTTAACAAAAGTGTCACACTGATTTACATGTAGTAAAAACCCTTAAAAATAAACAAAAATAGTCAAACTTCTCTCGTCATTATTTTCTTCAAGCCTTTAGTACAGTTTTGCTAACTTTACATAATATTTGTGTGTACTTGTCTTTCTGTATCTAGAGAGAGGAAGGACTAGCTCTTGGGCCCTACTTTCTAGTTTTTGTATGTATTGCTTTCACATTTCCTGTCTAAAGTTATGTACCATGCAAAATGTCTATAAACTACTTGTTTATACAAAAATGTTTTCCTTCATTTCAAACAGGTATGACCCACAGACCAATCAGTGGTTGTGTGAGGTAGCACCGACAAGCACGTGCCGGACCAGTGTTGGCGTGGCAGTGTTAGATGGTTACCTCTATGCTGTGGGAGGACAAGATGGTGTGTCCTGTCTAAATGTTGTAGAGAGGTATGCTTATGATGAACATGTGTTCTCATTTATTTTTATTTTCTTCTGTGTATGTGAATTTGCCCTTGACATTATTTTTCCTCCTGTCTGTGTTTCAGAGGTGTCTTTCCCAATCACTTATCATCTCTGAGGAATTGGCTTCCTCTAATACGAGTTGACTTCTTTTGAGTTGTTGTTTCTGAGTGGTGCTTTAATATGGCAATGACGATTCCTTCCATGTAAACAAGTAAAGGCCATTATTGCCCCCCGCCCCCCACCCACCCGCACCCACACACACACACATATACACACACACACACACACATATACACACACACACACACACATATACACACACACACACACACATATACACACACACACACATATACACACACACACATATACACAAAATGCAATGCGTTATAATCTGGAAGAAAATATGATAGTTGATGAAATTGAAAAACCTGACTTTAGGAGAGGGCATTATGGCAACCTTAGAAATTTTTTTAGTGAGTATAATTGGACAGACTTGTTACTAGGCAAGGAAGTGAATGAGATGTATGTCAAGTTTTGTGAAATATATGATAAAGGCACAACAAAATTTATACCAAAACAGAGATGCAGAACTAGGAAACAGGACTGGTTCAACAGAAATTGCGAGAGGGCCAGAGACCAAAAGACACAAAAATGGAATCAATACAGGAAGAGGCCAAACCCCCAAACATACCAGCGATACAAAGATGCGAGAAACAACTACACGGCAGTGATTAGAGAGGCAGAAAAAAATTTTGAAAAAAGGATTGCAGACAAATGTAAAACAGAACCAGGTCTATTCTATAAACTCATAAACAACAAATTGCAGGTAAAGAATAATAATCAGAGGTTAAAAATGGGAAATAGATTCACGGAAAATGAAAAGGAAATGTGTGAAACATTAAACGAAAAGTTTCAAAGTGTGTTTGTACAAAATGAAATCTTCAGGGAACCCGATACAATAAGAATTCCAGAGAACAACATAGAGCACATAGAGGTGTCTAGAGACGAAGTGGAAAAAATGCTCAAGGAGCTAAATAAGAACAAAGCAGTTGGTCCTGATGGAGTTTCACCATGGGTTCTGAGAGAATGTGCACTTGAGCTCAGCATTCCTCTTCAACTGATTTTTCAGGCATTTCATTTTTTTTTTCAGGAAAAAATAATTAAATCTAAATGGGTAGAACACCTGGAGAGAAATGATATAATATCAGACAGACAATATGGTTTTCGATCTGGAAGATCCTGTGTATCGAATTTACTCAGTTTCAATGATCGAGCAACAGAGATATTATAGGAAAGAGATGGTTGGCTTGACTACATCTATCTGGCCCTAAAAAAGGCTTTCGACAGAGTTCCACATAAGAGGTTGTTCTGGAAACTGGAAAATATTGGAGGGGTGACAGGTAAGCTTCAAACATGGATGAAAAATTTTCTGACTGATAGAAAAATGAGGGCAGTGATCAGAGGCAATGTATCGGACTGAAGAAATATCACAAGTGGAGTACCACAGGGTTCAGTTCTTGCACCAGTGATGTTTATTGTGTACATAAATGGTCTACCAGTTGGTATACAGAATTATATGAACATGTTTGCTGATGATGCTAAGATAATAGGAAGGATAAGAAACTTAGATGATTGTCATGCCCTTCAAGATGACCTGGACAAAATAAGTATCTGGAGCACCACTTGGCAAATGGAATTTAAATGTTAATAAATGCCATGTTATGGAATGTGGAATAGGAGAACATAGACTCCACACAACCTATATATTATGTGAGAAATCTTTAAAGAATTCTGATAAAGAAAGAGATCTAGGGGTGGTTCTAGATAGAAAACTATCACCTGAGGACTACATAAAGAATATTGTGCGAGGAGCCTATCCCACGCTTTCTTACTTCAGAATTGCTTTTAAATACATGGATGGCGATATATTAAAGAAATTGTTTACAACTTTTGTTAGGCCAAAGCTAGAATATGCAGTGGTTGTGTGGTGCCCATATTTTAAGAAGCACATCAACAAACTTGAAAAGGTGCAAAGACATGCTACTAAGTGGCTCCCAGAACTGAAGGGCAAGAGCTACGAGGAGAGGTTAGAAGCATTAAATATGCCAAAACTAGAAGACAGAAGAAAAAGAGGTGATATGATCACTGCGTACAAAATAGTAACAGGAATTGATAAAATCGACAGGGAAGACTTCCTGAGACCTGGAGCTTGAAGAACAAGAGGTCATAGATTTAAACTAGCTAAACACAGATGCCGAAGAAATATAAGAAAATTCACCTTCGCAAATAGAGTGGTAGACGGTTGGAACAAGTTAAGTAAGAAGGTGGTGGAGGCCAAGACCGTCAGTAGTTTCAAAGTTTCAAAGCGTTATATGACAAAGAGTGCTGGGAAGACGGGACACCACGAGTGTAGCTCTCATCCTGTAACTACACTTAGGTAATTACACACACACACACACACACATATACATACATACATATATATAAATAAGAGGAGTTTATGTAAGCAGAATAAACCACATATTGCTAAGGGTCAGCATGTCTAACAGTGAAAGGGTTAATACTTTTGCAATTTAAATAGCTGTTATTAATGCAGTATTACAGCAAATAATACTAATTGCACTATGGAAATGTCTTATCACAGACATAATAACATAAAAAAAAACACACTTGTGTATTTATGTAGTTTTTGTAAAGAATTTAACTGTAGTTCAGTTCTTTACATAAATACTTGTGTGGAGTTTCTATTCTAAATTAATTACATTTTTCTACATTTTATTGTTAGGTATGACCCTCAAAGTAATCGCTGGACAAAGGTTGCATCTATGAACACTAGACGGTTGGGTGTTGCTGTTGCTGTCCTTGGCGGATTCTTGTATGCTGTCGGTGGATCAGATGGACAAAGTCCTCTTAACACAGGTAGTGTTACTGGTATAAAGTACAGGTACTTTATAAAGTACTGTATATATCAACTCATGAAACATGCATCTTTTGTCCTACCACTGTGTCAAATGTGCAAAATTTGGATTTAGAGTAAAAATGTTTTCAACCTTTTTTTAAGGAAATTTATGCCATGTAGTTAAGAAGGATTGTTGTATAAATATATTCATATTTGCATGAATTTATGACTTGCCCCTTTTTAGCCCCCCAAAATGGCAAGAGTGAGGATAAAACACTGATGACAGATTTCTTTATGGACAATAGTCCTTGCAAGTCTAAAATGTTCACATTCATCAAAAAACAAAAACATATCATTATGTTTCGGCATGAATCAAGTCTTTGTCTTTATTTGTAATCATTTGGCTGGATAAGTTCAGTCTAAATATTCAACAAAATTGAGATGATAGAATCTTGATAAATGTTCGGTGACTGTTTTGATGCAAGTAAACTTTTTATTTCCTATATATTTGTCTTTATTTATAGTAAAAGTTGCTTGTAAGTTCAGAGTCTGAAATATAGACCAAAGTTGATCCAAGGATATGTATAACTAGAATTGCCAATATTTTGCAAGTTTTATTATAAAATTATCCAATAAAAAAATTTAAACTTATAAAGAAACTACCACAAATGCTGGGTAATTTGTAGAAATGCATTAATTATCTTGGCCAATTGTGTAAGCATAGCAATAGAAGCTGTACATATTCATCCAGCCAGACCTGCCTCAGTGTCTACCACTCCTCCACCAAACACTAATATCAGCTCAAACAATAAATTGTCATCTTGACTGTACAGTAATTGTTTATTCTATTTTTCAGCATGTACCATACCAAATTTTTAGTCATGTGGTAAATGTAGGAGGTTAAGTATATAAGCATCTGATCAGTACTTGAAATTTTTTAATGTTGTTGGTACTGAGGACAAAGATGCAAAAACTGCGGTTATTGGCTGTTACAGTAAACAAAATTTATCTTAATTTTATGTAATTGACCATCAACAGTTGTTTTTATCTTTTATGTAATTGAAACAAAAAGGCAGATGGATGGCTTGTAAATTCTTTAAAACTTGTGGAGGCTTTGAGTGTGTTAAGTCTGAGGTTTATACAACTCAATTTGGATTAATGATCGTCTCCATTATGTTGGGATGTTTGAAGAATTTATGTTGCTCTGAAACCTAGAATGTGCCCCTACCTGGTGGCATTATACACTCTGTAGAAAACAATCTTACTTTTAAGAGGCAAGCTAAGAAAGTCTTTTCCTACAAACTCAAAGCATATTTTCTAAAAGTGCCAGCAAATTGTTCTTAAAAATCTATTACTCTTTCCAGTGGAGCGCTATGATCCAAAAATGAACAAATGGGCAATGATGCCAGCAATGAGTACACGTCGCAAACACCTAGGATGTGCTGTCTACAATAACATGATCTATGCTGTTGGTGGGAGAGATGATTGTACTGAGCTATCTAGTGCTGAACGATACAACCCTCACACTAATCAGTGGAGTCCTATTGTTGCAATGACATCAAGACGAAGTGGGGTAAGTCAGGATACCAATGTTTGTGTGCATTGTTGATGTGTGTAATGTATGCATGTGTAATTACAGGATGAGAGCTACGCTCGCGGTGTCCTTCTGTCTTCCCAGTATTCTTTGTCATACGATGCTTTGAAACTACCGAGTTTTGGCACCTACTGCCTGTTGTGGTGTTTTGTTTGTGTTTTGACAGTCTGCCAGGGTCCCAACAGTTTGTTGTTTGTTCAATGTTCCTAGTTTTGGTGAGGCTTGTGTTCCCGTAGGTTGGGTCTTCTATCCCAGCCAGCATCTTAGTGTGTATTGTTGCCACTCTTATCGTCCTCAATTGTTAGCCCATGTTTTCTATCTTTTCTGTTGTCAGATAGCTTCAAGGAGCCAATGAGGATTCCTCCAGAAAACCAGTGTAGAATGTAATAAAAAAATTTTGCTTTTCTGGCAGAGCCTTGGTGGCTCCTTTATTACCTCTTTCTCTACCAGGTGCATTGGTCTGTGGTCTATCAGCTCTGGAGTTCAGGTCGAGGTCGAGGGAGGGGGTAGACGTACCTTGCGCGCTCCGTTAAAATCGCGACATTAACCGGGATTCTTAGGACTACTGCCGTGGATTACTGATTACAGACATAACAAAGTGCATAGTGACCCGCTGGAAAATTGAAAATAGTCATTAACAATAGAACTTTGTGTTAAATAGAGAATAAACGGGAGACCACGTGTGAGCCAGTGAACGAGGCTTTGTGTACATACGTGTATTAGGAAAAAAAAAAATAGTGAAAGGTGATTTGTGGAACAGTGATGTGGAACGGGTATCACAACAACATATAAGTTGGAAGTGAATATTATAAATATAGAATACTAGAAATATAGAATAGTGGCAAGAGGCGGCATCAGTGGTTATAAATCGGGTAACTGGAAACTGGTGACATCAACCTGGGACAACAAGAGGTCACCTGTACCGACCGGGGACCAGCCTCGCTACCTACGCTAAGTACCTGCCATAAAGTTTGAACAAAATAACATTCATAATATTACAAATATAAGGTATACATATAATATTATAAATATTAAACATATAAATATATATACATATATATTGTTACAAATATACAATATACATATAATATTATAAATATATAGATATATACAACAAAACAAGGCAAAATGGGAGTAAATAAACAAATTTGTGGCCACTGTAACAACTCCTTAAAGACGAAGGTAACGGGAATTGAATGTTATATCTGTAAGACTAGATTCCATTCGGCTTGTACAGGAGTGAGTAACACTACGGCACTGAGAGCTGGCCACTTGCTCTGGGTGTGTAAAAATGACCTGCCAGCTTGGAATATCCTAAAAAACCTTCTAGATAACATGACGCATGATCGGAAAACATCATTCATTGGAAGCCTACCAGCCATCCAGAAGGAGTGGGAAAGGAACAACAATTCTAATATACAAGGGGCGGAGGCTATAGTCAGGGATGAAACTGAGGCTGAAACTCAGGAAGTGTTCACCCTTCAATTGCGCATCGCATCATATGATGCTTTGACCGACTTGCAGTAAATTGCGCATCGCATCATGTGATGCTTTGGAGTACTACGCAAGATTTAAACGGCCCGCGGATACACGGGGGTTCACCACACCTTCATCAGGGCTCTTGTAAACAGACGCCATTTTAAAAAAAAATCGTGGGCCAAACTCCCGGGTGTTAGGGGCCTCAGTATTGAGTGAGCTACCAAGCCTGACGCACGCAGCACGAGCTCACAGCACTGTTGTTCAGCTTGTGACCACAGCATTGCCTAAAAATGCCATAATATACTTGTTCATGCTATTATGTAGCGATGATATTATTACAGAAGACCCCTGACTGTGATAAAACTGACCAGGGTTCTGATAATAGCAGGATTGTGGTGATATTTGGCACTGTGCGCCATGGAGGGAGGAGTAATGCTGTGGGAGGGAGGATGGTGGAGTTGTCTTTTGAGTGTGTGTGGCCACCTTTTATTGACTGCACTCACCATACCAGGTTAGTGGTTAGCTATGGTGAACACAAATGTAGATACTTATATAACGTGTGTATAGTGTGAGATAACAGCGAGAGTAGGAGGTTGGGAGCCGCCATTTTGGTGAGGGTGGAGCGTCGTCTGCAGGACTTATCATGTTGTTTACTGATGACCACGATGGTCTTTGGGCACCATACCAGTTTACTTGTACAAGTATGGTGAATAAAACAGGTAGATATTTATATATAATGTGTGTATATAGCGTAATAACACCACAAACAGTATTGTTGTAGGAGAAATATTAGTGCGTCTGGCCTTGAGGGCGGCCGCCACCAGCTGACTGTGTGAGTAGCTACGTCTCTCTGCCTTTACTCACCATACAAGCTTAGATGTACAGTTATGGTAAACAAAACATGTAAATACTTATATATAACGTCTGTATATAAAAGCAAAAACAGTATGGTGGGTGGAGAATGGTGGCAAGTCAGGTGAGGTGAGGTGAGGGAGGGAGTGGCAGCCAGTGGCAGCCAGTCACTGCCTGCCACTCAGCATACCAACTTAGTGGTTTGTCATGGTGAACAAAACATGCAGATACTTATATATAACCTGTGTATATAGTGTAATAACCGACAAAGTATTTGTTCACTGTTTGATTAACATAATTGAATCAACAATATGCACACCTATTTTTGAGTACAGCGATGATTCACTCATTTTATTATATAAATATATCACACTACACACCATTGAATAATATTACAGCAAAAAAACTACGAAAAATCAATCAGAGACATTGAAATAATTAGGTAATTATCTCTTTGTGGAAACTCTAGCCTGACAGCTGGCAATCAACAGACCGCCAGGGACGCACGCTCAGTCAGCGCCTGATTTTTGCCACACTTCCCCACCCTATAGTGGGCAATATATGCCACTTAAGATTTTTTTATTATTTTTCCCGTGATCAGTGAACACAAATTAACAAGTTAGGAAGAAAAAATAATTTTTTTTTTTTTTTTTTTTATATGCGCCTGTGGGTGTCAAATGGTATATAGCTATGCGCCATTTAAGGGTTAAACTCTGACTCAGTAGGCCAGGATGTAGATGACAGTAAACTAGAAAGTGTACCAGACAGCACTGACAGCTCGATAGGTACAGACACTACGACGGTTCCCGATAGAGCAATTCAGAACAGAAGGACAGACTTATGCAAATTTTATGCAAAGGGCATATGCAGACATAGATATGCTGGTAATAAGAAAGGATTAGAATGCAGTTACCAACATCCCAAAAAATGTTTAAATATGCTTAGGAAAGGTGACTGTCGATTTGGATCAATATGTAGGTTTTTCCATCCTGACATGTGCCAAACCTCACTGGAGGACAGAAAATGCTATGACCTCAGCTGCCCACACTTTCACGTGAAAGGCAGGGAACGCTACATAAAGAGTGGCAAGCAGGATAATGAATTTGGAGGAAACTCTATAAATTTTTTATACCAGACCGGCAGAGAATTCAAAAGGAGCAGCATGGAGAGTGTATGGAACTGGATGCCAGATCCACTTGCATTCCAGAATTACAGATACAATTACCCACCGAAAGGGAACTACAACTACGACAGACAACTGCCCTACAACAATCAGTACTGGTCAGAACAAACTCATTATGTCCACGAATAATGGGCTTGCCGAAAGTCTCCCATTCAAACTACAGTATCACTAATAGAGTAACCTCATTCATCTTTGCCAACATACAAGGACTGAAAACAAGAACAAACAACAAAGTACAGTTCATAAATGGCCTCCTCACGGAGTCAAAAGCAGTATTTGGAGCTTTCACAGAAACCCATGCAGGGGAATTGTTGGACAGTGAGATCTGGATTCCAGGATATAACCTATACAGGTGTGATAGGAAAATTAGGTCACATGGAGGAGTAGGTCTGTATATTAGGGAAGACCTTGTATGCTCGGAGCTCCTAAACGTTACAAATGAGGTGGTAGAGGTACTGGGATTAAAAATAGAGAAAATAAATTTAGTGATTATTCTAATATACAAACCGTCAGATGCAACGGCTGAGGAATTCACAGAACAGATAAGCAAAATAGAGAATAGCCTTGATAATTTGGAGAACCCGATACCTGATATTATCTTCCTAGGTGACTTCAACTTGCCTCAGTCTCAGGTGGAAAATAACAAACAATAATATTATACCAGGAAATCTTTCAGGACCTAACCAACCACAGATTAGAGAACTACTTAGATTCTGTGACAAATTTTCACTCAATCAGCAGATATCGGAGCCAACGAGAAATGAAAATATTTTAGATCTGGTCTTTACGAACAATGAAGACATTATCAGAGACATTACGATATCAGATACCACATACTCAGATCACAAGCTCATTGAAGTGCAAACGACCATCAATACTCAGAATAGACCTAAAACTTTGATAAAGCGAGAGGGGCTATTCAGTAAATTCAATTTTAATAATAAAAGGATAGACTGGGAGATGATAAACAGGGAACTTACAAACATTCCATGGGGAACTGTTCTAAGTAATACAAGTCCTACAGAAGGAATAGAAAAACTGACTTCAGAAGCGTATCAAGTCTGTCTGAAACATGTTCCTTTGAGGAAAGCCAGAAAGAGATCTAACGTAGAAAGAGAACGCAGACGACACTATAAACGCAGGAAAAAAATAACGGAACTGCTTATGCAGACATGAATTTCCCGTCAAAGAAGGAATAATTTAAATAGGGAGATTGAAGAAATCGAGCGGAAATTGAAACACTCATATGAAACTGAAGAAAGGCAGTTAGAACAGAAAGCAATTCGGGAAATAAAGAAAAATCCAAAATATTTCTTCTCATATGCGAAATCAAAAGCAAAAACCACTGCTAGTATTGGACCTATTCATACAAGTGAAGGTACATACACGGAGGATGACAAAGAAATTAGTGAAATCCTAAAAAAGCAGTATGAGGACATGTTAAGCACTCCAATAAACAACATGAAGGTGGAAGATCCAGACAATTTCTTTATGCGAAATATTCAAACCCCTGTAAATATAACTGATATAAGCACGAGCGCACTAAATTTTGAAAGAGAAATTGAAAACATGCCCATGCACTTGGCCCCAGGTCCAGACTCATGGAATTCAATATTTATAAAGAAATGCAAAGTGCCGGTAGCACAGGCACTCAGTATAGTGTGGAGGAAGAGCTTGGACACGGGGGAGATACCAGATGCACTTAAAGTAGCAGACATAGCCCCTCTACACAAGGGAGGGAGCAAAGCATTGGCAAAAAATTATAGACCAGTTGCACTAACATCGCACATCATAAAAGTATTTGAGAGAGTGATTAGGAGTCAGGTCACCAATTTCATGGAGACCAATGACCTTCACAACCCAGGCCAACATGGATTTCGAGCGGGAAGATCGTGCCTCTCACAGCTACTTGAGCACTACGACAAAGTCACTGAGGCATTAGAAGAAAAACAGAATGCTGATGTGATATACACGGACTTCGCAAAGGCTTTCGATAAATGTGACCATGGCGTGATAGCACACAAAATGAAGTCAATGGGAATAACCGGTAAAGTAGGACGCTGGATACTCAGTTTTCTGTCAAACAGGACTCGGCGAGTAACGGTCAACCATATAAAATCTAGTCCAAGTGCAGTTAAAAGCTCTGTACCTCAGGGTACAGTCCTTGCACCGCTGCTTTTCCTTATTCTCATATCAGATATAGACAAAAATACAAGTCACAGCTTTGTATCATCCTTTGCAGATGACACAAAAATCAGTATGAAAATTACCTCGGCTGAAGACATTGAAAAACTTCAAGCTGATATTAATAAAGTTTTCGACTGGGCATCAGAAAATAACATGATGTTTAACAGTGATAAATTCCAGGTACTCAGGTATGGTAAAAATGAGGACCTTAAACATAATACAGAGTACAAAACACAATCAAATGTACCCATAGTAGGAAAACAGCATGTAAAGGATTTGGGTATAATAATGTCTGACGACCTAACGTTTAAGGAGCATAACCAAGCAAATATTGCGACAGCCAGAAAAATGATAGGATGGATTACGAGAACTTTCAAATCCAGGGATCTCATTACAATGGTTGTACTCTTCAAGTCACTTGTGTTGTCTCGTCTTGAGTACTGCTCAGTACTCACTTCCCCCTTCAGAGCAGGAGAGATTGCTGAAATAGAGGGAATACAGACAACATATACGGCACGCATAGACGCAATAAAGCACCTAAATTATTGGGATCGTCTCAAAGCCCTCCAAATGTACTCGCTAGAAAGAAGACGAGAGAGATATCAAATAATATACACCTGGAAGATACTGGTGGGCCAAGTACCAAATCTACACAGTAAAATAACAACATACTGGAGTGAACGATATGGAAGAAAATGTAGAATAGAACCAGTGAAGAGCAGAGGTGCCATAGGCACAATCAGAGAACACTGTATAAACATCAGAGGTCCACGGTTGTTCAACGTCCTCCCAGCAAGCATAAGAAATATTGCCGGAACAACCGTGGACATTTTCAAGAGGAAACTAGATTTATTCCTCCAAGGAGTGCCGGACCAACCGGGCTGTGGTGGGTATGTCGGCCTGCGGGCCGCTCCAAGCAACAGCCTGGTGGACCAAACTCTCACAAGTCAAGCCTGGCCTCGGGCCGGGCTTGGGGAGTAGAAGAACTCCCATAACCCCATCAACCAGGTATCAACTAGGTAACTGGACTGGGGTAAGATGGTGCAGGAGCCGAGAGCTCTTGGGGTGCTGCCACCTACTGGTGGCTAGTCATAACTATGGAGGAAGGGGAGGTTTCAGTCAATTTCAGAAAGAATCATTTGCAGAATTAACAATGAAATCACAATGGCCAAGTTGGTTAACATAGGCATCTTGGAATCACCAAAATGCAAGTTCAAGTCAATCCATTGCCTCAAAATGGTTTTCATTTGCAGAGTTATTTGGCCATTTCAGTGCTTTGTTTTCTGTGATCTTTGTAGTTGTCTGTATTGCTTCACTTACTGTACTTTCTGGATGTTCTCTCAGTGAGGGTGCTTATAATAATCCCCTGCTCCCTGTGCCTCTGTGAGGGGGACAGGTTATGATCCCCAAAAGATCATTCATTACTCCTAAGGCTGATAGGCTCCCTCCTACTAAGACTTAGTAGGAGGGAGCCATCTCAGCAAGGTAGCTTCAGGGCACCACTGAGGCCATAACAGAAAGAGGTTTTTCATCACATTCAATGCTGTGTTTTTTACTACCCTTATTTCTCATGCTTGTAGGGTGCTTACCATTTGTTTATCTCCCATTCACTCTTATTTCACTTGTGCAGAGCTTTCTTGATTAGTTTTAGTTTGACTTTTGTTTTTGTTTCTTTAATGATCTAAGGTATCCGTTGCTTTTCCTTGTGTTTTGGCTGGGTTTGTAGGAGACACCCAGTAACTGGTGTCCTGGATACCAGGATGTTTCTTTGTATCACAGGTCCATAGTAGAGGTCTACTATGAAATACTATGGCATTTCATTTACCCCATGCTTAGTGGTTTGATTTAATTTGTAGTAGCTTCCATTAGCAGGTATAGGTAGTACATTACTTCCATTAGTAGATGCCTATAGGTACCAGGGTTTCATTAAAATGCTTAGATCTCCCAATGGGTATGGCAGTCTCTTTCACTCCGACAATTTATTGGTGTTGCATTTTGTAAATAGGTCGGGTCTAGCCAAATTCCATAATTTGGGGAATGGATGTTAGCAATTATTACAAATATGTATTTTATTTGTCTTCAATTCCAGGTCTCGCTTAAATTTATGAATGTAAATTTAACATTGGAAATAAATAAAAGTGCTCAAGTGCACTAGTTTGGCTGAATTATCTGGTGTTGTGGTTTAAAAAATATACATTTTGTTGTGCTGTCAATTAATGTTCATATTTGATTTTTTCTTGCAGGTTGGCTTAGCAGTAGTTAATGGTATGCTGTATGCAGTTGGTGGTTTTGATGGAACAACATATCTCAAAACTATAGAGGTGTATGATCCTGACCAGAACCATTGGCGGTTGTGTGGGTCCATGAACTACCGTCGGCTGGGTGGTGGTGTAGGTGTTGTCAAGCTTCCGCATAATGAAGCACATCTCTGGTGATTAAACGAAGGGCTAGAATTCTGGCTTGGTGTAACTGTCAGTGGAAAATTAGGTATTGGAAAGTAGTAGCATATTCAGATATTATTGTAATGATGTTAATATGTGTATATTAAGTATCAAGAGTAAGATGAACCTATAATGCATTATACTTATTAAATAGTTAGATATTGATTAATAAGCATAAAAAACTTGCTGAGCATCAGTATTTGCAAGATGATTTGCACTGTTGTAGTTCAGTAATAAATCAAGTACTGTGGTACTAAATCAACAATGCAAAATTGCAAGGTTCTAGTTGTGAAAAAAGTAAATAAAGAAGATTGAGCAAAGCAAGGAAGATTGGTAAAAGAGAGTAAAATTCTCATTAGAATGACAGACTCCAAATCTTGTGCTAGAATTCTGCCTGTTAGTCACAAAGACTTATGTGAATACAAATAATGAATGCAATGTGGACCAGAGTGAGTGGACTGTGAACAAGGTCCTTGGCCAAAACCATGTAACTCACCCTAAGATCACGACAAAGATTATATTTTAAGTTATCCTAATGTTTGGTGTTGTGAGCTTGCTACATTAGTACTCAGGTGTTCTGCAGTCAAGTTTTGACAGGTGACCACTGGAATATACTAATAATCATATTTAACAGTGCACCTCTACTGCTGACATTGTGAGCTAAGAATAAATTTAATTAAAAGTTTCATTGGAATAGGGCTTAAAAATTACTCTATTTTAAAATAAAATCTCTAATTAAATTTAGTCTCGTTTTTCTAAAGCTCTGATTTTCACACTTTTTTTTTCCATTCCAATTATTATGTCATAATGTATTTACAGAAGTGTCCATCTTTGTTAAGATGATGATGTGATGTGTGGCCTCCCTGGTGGGTGGGGGTGGCCTCTTCTACACTTCTTCACACACTTCACACCCTTAGAAATTTAAGACTTGAGAACATCTGAAATACGTCATAGAATTCCATTAATTACATTATTACTTTTGTTAATTTTTAGTGTTAGAGATGTGCCAATATTTCATATTGCATAGTAACTAAAGCTGAAGGTGTGTTCAATTCATTGCTGATGTATTTGATAATGAATTGGTTAAACATTTTTAGAATATTAAGTATACAGTATATGTATACTTCAGTTTATGAAGTGGTTCTAAAAATTTTAAGGCCATATTTTTTCCTGATGAAATTTATGGGCAACCCATGTTGAATAATATGGTGGGCCAAGTGAATAAAATGTTCATTTTTAGTCTTAATAAAAACTTAAATTACCATTACAGTCCAAAAATCATGCATAATACACATATCCAAATCTTTTGAACTGAAAAATGGTAATTTTCCCAGCATATTCCACGCACTCCAAATATGTCATTGTCTGTTGACAAAATTATAAGAGCTCTGGTTCTTCTATTAGCTAGTGCAGGAGCTATTCCAGGGGCTCCTTGCACATCGTGTTCTTGCCAGAGCTGCTACCTGTTCACAAGGGTATGATAACCTTACTGTGTACTTTCTCTTACAACAATCTTGTTAACACATTGAACATTAGGAACGTTGAATTGATCTCTATGCCACTATGGTATTTTATGTTTGGACGTGATATTATTATTCCTTATTATTATGAGGAACATTATTACAGCATTGGCACTAGAATAATGCTAGTATGTTTTCTGTAGAGGAGCTAACATTTTGGGACACTGGTGTTTTGTGTCTACAGAGCAACTTGGATTATGGGATATGCTAATTACAGCTTCATGGTTCTATACTCTTATTGCTACAATGTAATTTTGTTGAAAATTTTCACTTTGCAGTCTTGCAGCAACACCGCTCTTAGTGTTCCCCCATTTCAAATCAGAACAAGTTTGTACTTCTTAAGCTTAGAGCAACTACTGGAATCTGTTTGTTAAGGAATAAGTGCTCTGGAAAATCATATTTTTGTTATCTGCATGTTTGTTGAACCTTTTCTCATTGAACCATACAGTGTAAGGATAAGAGAAGTTAAATGAACAGGAGACTGCTGTAGTTTTGCCTCAAAGTACATGTGTTCCAGAAATTCTACAAGTGCACTAAAATCTGAGGAAAGGAATTGTGGTCACTCAGGATTTTTTTTTCTCTAATGCTTTCTCATGGAAGGTAAATATGTAACTGACTGATTACAAGGCCAGGGCTGTAAATCAGTCTTTCCTGTCATTTATGGGTAGACATAATTACCCCCCCCCCCAAAAAAAAAAAAAAAAACTTCCTGCACACACACAATCCCATTTGTGTCCAAAAGATATACAACATTGCCTTTCCATCAAATGGGACAACTTGGAACTTGGTGAGGTGGGTGCTACCATTCCATGCTCAATCAATGCATCTTGGCTGCATAGTGATGCATCTGGGAAACATCACCAATGATTATTTTGTGCAGAGTCTTTTCACTGTGGATCATTCGTCAATGATTTTTTCTGGTCCAACCACTTGGGCTGGATGGTAAAATGACGGTCTCGCTTCGTGCCGGTCGGTGTTCAATTCCTGATCGTACAAGTGGTTGGGCATCATTCCTTTTCCCCCGTCCCATCCCAAATCCTTATCCACTTCCCTTCCAAGTGCTATATAGTCTTAATGGCTTGGCACTTTTCCCTGATAATTCCTTCCCTTCCCTACTAGTCCACTGAATTCAGTCTATACAGTCCTCTTCCTTTCAGATTAAAGCTGTACAATATGAGAAGATAGAACAATGTTGCTGACTCCTTCACAATAAAATTTGTGGTTGTTGTGAGCAGTATATTAGAGGTTCTCGATTTCTTTTAACTTGCTTTGTAGTAGGTTGACTCCAGCAGGACCACTTTTATGGGTCAGTCTGCTCTCACATTTCTCTTATGCAACACCAGTTTCATATACTGTATTCATTTGTATTTGGTCATTGTGTGTACATGTATCGTCATGACTTTATCACCTTAGATTACATCTTTATCATTATTAACAAGGAATCCAATGCCGAAGCTATTGTACGTTCGAGAATTTCTTTATTCCAGCATTAGACCTTCTTTAACTTTGCTTTAACTACTTTTAATTACATTATGGCAGTTACATGTGCCTTGTTTCTGACAAAAGAATTATAAACTAAGCACCTATTAAATTAAAAAATAATAAAATTTCTTCATTTCAAAAAAATTATTTGCTGTATTCCACTTGAATAGTCTTGAAAAAATTGCCTACATGCAATGTAGTCATCTTTTGGACTCCCAATGATACTTTACACTAGTTTTCTTTCTAAAAAATTATAGTCATTTGCTTTCATTTAAAAATTTATGTAATCTGTGATGTGACAGGATTACCTTATAATTATTTGTGTATCATGTCATATAAAATATCTGAGGAAGGTTTTAAATGAGGCCACACTTTGAAAGAGGAAGGGCCAGCCATATATTTAGTCATTGGATATTTTTTTTTTCTCAACATATTTTACTGTTTGTAACTTTACAATCTGATTTTAATTTTTGTTTACCTGTGTCCACACATGCATGATCAAACACACACACACACACACACATTCGTGTGTGTGCATGCGTAGGTCATCTACATTTATTGCTAATAACCTATTTCATCTTTGCACTTGTATGTACATAATGGAATAATGAGAACATTATTCATTCTTTTCTTCACCATTGTCATGAAACCAATGGTTAATTTGTGTTTGCTCTTGTAATGGAAATTCTTCTTATTGTATAAAAAGATTCCTCAGTTTTACTTATATTAAATTCTGCTTATTGTATTTTATTAGCATACTAAAGTTGAGACCAGTCTTCACAACTATATGCTTTTACCTTACATTAGTTTTCATAATTATTTTTACTTTGTGTCATTATTCTACTGTACAGTGCATGTGAAATATTATTAATTCTTAAAACCACTTACAGTTGAACATTGATCGTGGTTCATCAACTCTATTGTTACCTTTTCTTCCCTTTATGCTCTTGCAGTATTGTGAATCACTACACCTTATTTTTCCTTCAGTACCCTCTAGAAATTTGATTATGAGACACCTGAAAGATTAAGCAGACAGCAAATTTACACAAGGAAAGCAAAATCCATTTTAAATGACAGTTTTGAGTTGTGTTTCTGTTGAATGTCTGAATCATCATCTTGTGTTTCACGTCACTGTAAACTCTGTTAGAGGCAAACAGGGATGGCAGCAAGCACTGCAAGTAAAGCAAAATGTTAAACAGACTTTATTCTTTGAAATGAACACCTGCAGAAATTTTTTTTATATTTTATGTGAGAAAATTTAATGGAGATTTTTTATTACCTGCCAACTTAATTACTGTATTTCCATACATATATTTATAAAAAAAAGTGAGTTCAGTGAAACTGTGTTCATAATTTTACAATATATCTTTTTCATTATTTTGACTTTGTAAGATGGCTGAATGTTCATGGAAGAAATTAATTTTTGTATCCTGATTATAATAATTACCTTCTAGTGCTTCTGTAATGCAAATTATAACATTCTAGCTTTTTTTAATTAATTATCAATCCAGCATAGTTATGTTTTGTTTCTTAATGTTTATCATAGTTGGGAAAGTAGATTGTGAAAGATATATTAAAATGCCAAATGTGATTTTAATTAATGTATCGTTCACATCTCGTACAATTATAAACATAGTTATCACAAAATTGTGGAATGAAACCAATTGTATATACATGTATTGAACTGATAATTCCAGCTTAAAATGCACAGCAACAATTTTACCTTAAAATAATGGGGGAGGATTTGTAGCAGGATTGCTGTGTTCATAAATGTAATTAACACTGGCAGTACTGTATCATCACCATTATCTAATTATCCACTACCATGCTTACGAAGAATGAAAAATAAGAGTAATAAATTGTTTTTGCAATGATTCAAAGTAATAACTTAAGAATCTGCTGAAGTTATTGCTGTATTATTGGTAGCATGTGTGAAGAGATGTAGTTTTGTGGTGATGTACACAGTATACATGTGGTGATGTACACAGTATACATGTGGTGATGTACACAGTATACATGTGATGATGTACACAGTATACATGTGATGATGTACACAGTATACATGTGATGATGTACACAGTATACATGTGCTGATGTACACAGTATACATGTGGTGATGTACACAGTATACATGTGATGATGTACACAGTATACATGTGCTGATGTACACAGTATACATGTGGTGATGTACACAGTATACATGTGATGATGTACACAGTATACATGTGATGATGTACACAGTATACATGTGCTGATGTACACAGTATACATGTACTGATGTACACAGTATACATGTACTGATGTACACAGTATACATGTGGTGATGTGTACACCATACCTCGCGTGTACTAGTGTTGACCAAACAACCGTCACTGACCAGGCTTCTTGCACACTATTGTCATATTATTACTGTGTGTTGATGAACAATGCTTATCTGGCATTAAAATGCCTGATTTAAAAAACACTGCACTTTTTATTGTATTAAGAAGTACATACAATTAAAGAAGTTTAATATTTCCTTAACCATTTGTGAAGAATTTCAATACCACTATTACTTTATTAGCTTTGTGTATTATATACAAATCAAGTAGATTTGTTATGATATTGTTAAGATTATTAAATAACATTGGCTGTCATGTGTTCCTAGTTTCATTAGTGGAAAGGTGAGATAATATGATTGCTGGGAATATGGTTTGGTCTTGAGCACATTGGCTGTAATAATAATACGACATAAGAATGTCAGACAGTAGCTACTCTTGATTATAATGTACTGTCATGTATACCAATTTGTCATAGGCTAGAAAAACATAGACTTTTACAGAAAAAACAAGATAATGTTTTGCAGTTGTTAGCAAGGAAAAGTATGCATGTTCAGTAGGCATAGGGACGCTTCCTTGTGATGTTTAATTGGTGTGCGGACACCTTTCCACAATGAGCAAACAAATGGATGTTTGTGTACCTCTTTAGCATAATTCTCTTTATTTTACATTTAGATATAAAATTAATTCTTTTGTTTTGGTGGTGAGTTTAATTGAAACATATTCCAGAGTTAGATATCACTAAATGCACATATTCCAATATAGTTATTGCTTTTATTTGCATTATATGAAATATATTCTTATAGTCATTAATAAAGCCTGCTAGCCACACATCCATTGTAAAGCCATTTGTTATCCAGTTAGTCCTATTGAAGCTTGCTTGCTAAACACAATTTTTTTTATTAACACATTTTGGTACATCTGCATTTATGCAGCTACCCAGTTCAAGACTATATGAAGGGAAGTACAGAGTATGTCAAGAGCTAGCTACTTGATGCTAAAAATTCCCATCATACAAGATGGTGAGTCATACAGGGCCATGTGTTCAGTAGTCTGCACCGGCAAACTCGAATTGGAGATGACTTGTCCAATAAAACACTTTTATGAAGCCTGATATTCAAGTTTCCAAATTACTGGAGTCTGTTTAGTTAATGAAATAAACAAAACCTGTTATTCAGATATCCAAATTAACATGCAATGGTAGTGAAGTTGGGTGTAGCGGCACCCAGACATGCTCAAGCTGGTGGTCGTATATCCACACACCTTGGCGTGGTTTAAAGGATATTTACAGATGAAGGTTTGGTTAATGTTTCATTTCATGCAAAGTATTAAGTGTATAATTATTCCAAGAAAAATGGTATGTAACATAGAATAGTGTATTATAGTAAACCACAGTTTGTTGTTACTTTATATTACTGATATACTTTTATGGAACCACAGTAGCAAAATGAGAGGCTTTTTTTTTTTTTAATGTCTTGCAGAAGATTTTCAGCCATTATTGGTTGAACATCTTTTATAATGAAATTTAAAATGTGAGGTGTGAGGTAGTTGCTTGTTTCAAATTTGGCAAACATTGTAATCACAGCTATTTGTTGTTAGCCAGCTGCTGATCTAATCAAGTGTTCTTCACAACAGCCAATATATGGATAATGTGCCAAATATATATATGATTGAAAATAGCAAAAATTACTGTCAAATAACCATATTTTTGCTCAAAATTTTAATAAACGTTGGTGAGACGTAATTGGAAAGCTAAATGCTTAACAATTTAAAGATAAATGACTGAGTACTGTATATGTACAGTAATTTCTGCAGATATTTCATCAGTATGGTAGTTGATAAACACATTTAATCTTTCCATTTGAGAGCCCCCAAAATATGCTGAGCCTAGTTAGATTTTGGGGATCCATTAGGCTCTTTGGCATAGATAATTAAGCAGTGGCTGTATGTACAGTACTTTGAAGGATGTTGTCTATTTTATCATCACATTTAATACTAGTTCATAGGATAATTTTTGTTGGTTCAGTATTATTCTCTCATGTGATTTACCTCTCTTAACCAAGAATCTTGTCTGTATAATTCCTAAGACGTTTTTGATAAGCTTATCGCAGAATTTGATGTAATACAATACCACACAGTCACAAAAGCATGTCAGCTTTTAGTGTGGGTACCTCTTGTTTATATATATATAGAATGTACATATATAGTATGCAGTATATAGATATATACAGTATAGGCTTATATATATGTCACTTGTGAATATTTTCATAAATACTGTATGGTTAAGTATGCTTATTTTAGTAGATATCTTAGAGCTGATGCTTAAATGACTTAGTGTGAGAAAACCCCTTGATGCTTATTAGGCCTAAGTGTACACACAATGAATGACTGTGTGTATGACTAAAGGTTTTGTCGGGTGACAAGATTTGAGTAAACGTATTTTAATTTGATTGACTTTTGTGGATAAAATGAAGTGGTTGCTGGACAAGAGTTTATCCCCAGGTGGTGATTATGCTTACAGCAGTTGTTAGTGTTGTAAGCATTGATGTGGTGTAGCAAAATGACTTCATTATGTTTTGTAAATCTTTATTTTATATTGATAGTCTATGTTTAGACCATGATCTTGTTCTTATGGGCTTACATTCTTGATTAGGATTTAGGTTCCTGATGCTTGATATAAAATTAGCAATGTGGATATATTAATGAGTAATGGTATATTTTTACAATACAAAATCTGGTATAGTATGCAGATTGATAATGTTGCTGATATAAGTGTGCATGCATGTGCAATTTATTTTTGTGATTAACTTATGGATAAAGAATTTGCTAAACTCAATCCAGAGAACAAAAATTATATCAAGCATTAAACTTAAGATAACTACCAAATAATGATTAAAACAGTTCTAAAAGAATTCTAGGTTTCTTAAAAATTGATTAAGAGTATTATAAAATATCGACAAGTCTCAACCACTGCTGGAACATTTTTGTTAATGTTGGATTCCAATCACTGATATAGTAATATGGCAAATTCACTAAATTCACTTTATAATATAAATTTGTTCAAAGTAAATGCTGTTAGTGATTTCGTACACTTATGAAATATTAACTCGAATACAAAACCTTTGGATATAGAGCACATACCACATAACAGCTCTCCAGATAGCTGTCAGTAACATTTTACTGTAAATATAAGAGGTAACAATGGGTGAAAGACTGCAGAAATGTTTATTGGTCGTATTCTCCATTACTCATAAACTTGCATACCACTTCATAAGATTGTTTCACTGAATGAACTACTATAAAAATGCAATAATGAATACTCTGAAGAATTAGCCACAAAGGACTGAATGTGATGTGAAGAAAGAGTGTGTGTGCCTCTCGTGCATGTTGATTGTTGTTGGTGTGTTTGGGGTGCGGTTGGCACAAGTGCCATTCAAAGGTATTTAGGTAAACTTGAAGATTTGATTTTTTTGGACTCCACTAAGTTGTGTTGTAATTCCAAGATGCTGTAATTATTTTTATTTAAAAGGATTATGTTTAAAAGATTACTTTCGTATTTTTATGCATTGAATACTATATTAAAATATATATGTGATTTTGAGAACTATTAAATTAAGTCCTTTAGTTTATTATAATACTGTAATTGATTAATAAATGTAATATTTAGTTTCTGAAAAGAAAAACTCAACATTCATGGAGTGTTCTTGGCTAATGTATGGTATGACATTTGGTGATGGGAGTTAAGGTGCTGTGCAAGATACAACATTGTCACAATGTTTCCCATCAAACACCATACTGTACATTTTAATGTATACAACATTTGAAAATATTTTTCTAATTCTCTTTATGATAATGAGCAAGTCATATGTAACTGAAAACTTTTACCTGCAGTAATTATTGGATTTATTTATCTCAACGATGTTCATTTTTCCAATGCCAAAATTTTTTCATTAATATATATATGCAGTATAGTACAGTATAGCATGAATATTGTTTTGTTTTGTGGTGACCTATAATAATTAGAAATGCCAAAGCACTTTTCTTCCTTCAATGGGGGGGGGTTGCATTTTTGGTTATTTTCTGAATTTGTATTAGTAGATACTGTTTAGCAATGTTTGCTAAAGGACTATATTAGGTAACCTGAACCTATTTCTTGTACACCATTTGATAATTAATTTTTGTACCATGACACTTGCCCTGAGCTCCCATTAGTTATTGAATCTCGATCTTTTGCTCCATAACAAATGAAATAGTTAAAGTTTACATTTGCAGGAAAACATTTGATGGTATTAGGTTGTGTATGGACTAATAATTAGGACATTTTGTTCAATAAACTATTGTACTTATATTTTGTCTCATTCCTCACATCAAATATTTTGTCTCATTCCTCACGTCATATGTTTTATAGTGCCATACTTGAATGATAGGCTTCAGTCAGAAGCAGTGTAGAACACAACTTCATAGTCTTCCATTAGTAAATTCTCCTTTGTTTATACTGTATACATATTTCATTTAGCTAAAAATTACTCTAAAAGCATTTAAGAATTCTCCATTTGTTTCTTGTATAACGTTTTTCAAGTTAATTTCTTCTGTGAATTAAAAATTATTTTATCACGTCTGCTGACAAGCTGTGTTGAGTAAATGCTGATTAAGTTTCAATTTATGATAATAGACTAAGCTTAGAGCTGGGGTCCCTGCGATAGGGAGATGGAACTTTCACCGATGACAACAAAGAAATGAGCGAGCTACTGAGGAAGCAGTACGACTCTGTTTTCAGTGAGCCATCAAACGCACTAAAGATTGATAACCCAAATGAATTTTTCATGGATATGATACCAACATCAAATCATATATCAGACGTCACCCTATCCCCACTAGATTTTGAAGAAGCCATAAACAGTATGCCTATGCATTCTGCACCAGGCCCGGATTCTTGGAACTCTATATTCATCAAGAAATGGCCTCTGCTTTGAAATACAAAGCGGAGATGTTTCTGAAGAGGGGGACAAAGAAATAGTTGCGCAGTGCGCCCCGCGCAGATGCGCGGGAAGTCTGGGGCCATATAAATTCCGAGGCAGAGAGGGGCTCTCCCTCACTCCCACCTGACCGCCGCAGTACTCGAAACTACGTCGCGCTGCGCCTCAACGACACGTGGACCAGTACCAGTCCTGCATTCATCAGTCTGTCGATACGGCAGGGGCCCCCCTGCCCTAATCATCCTACTCTAAGGTAATGTAAAAATTTTCTGTTAAAGTTTAATCAGGACTGTCCAGTGTCTGGCGTGTGTTGGCGCCTTCTCCCCGCGGTCCGTGTGGGCCGCCTTAGTTCCCTAGTGCCTTCTGCACGTTTGCCTGTCTTGAGGTATGCAGGCGCGCCTTTCAGTCTGTGCCAGGTGCTGCAGCGGCTGCTTTGCTGCTGCCGCAATGCCCCGGGTAACCGTGTGTTTGTGCCGTGTCCCGAGTGAACCGCTCTGGTAGTGTTATCTCCCAGGCGTGCACTATGGGCACTGGTCAGCTGCGTTCCCTAGGCGTGCGCCTAGGGGCCCCGATTCGTGCCCCGCTCGGACGTGCGTGCCTGGCCAGGCCCCCTGCGAGCGGCCCGGCGTCGCCCTTGGAGGCGCCCCCACGTGGACAGGTTGCTGTGGTCCTATGCCAAGGGCCATGGTGCAGAGAGTCAGAATTCGGCTCAAAAATCACGCTCAGGAGTCAAATTTCCGACATTTCAGACATTTTGAAAACTGCAGGGGTGTTTGGGCAAAATATGACCCATCGCCGTTTTCAGTAATTGGCACATTTTCGGTATAAAAAAGTCGTAATTTGAAACTGAAAATAGGTGCAGAGAGTCAGAATTCGGCTCAAAAATCACGGTCAGGAGTCAAATTTCCGACATTTCAGACATTTTGAAAACTGCAGGGGGGTTTGGGCAAAATATGACCCATCGCCGTTTTCAGTAATTAGCATATTTTCGGTATGAAACGTCGTAATTTGAAACTGAAAATAGGTGCAGAGAGTCAGAATTCGGCTCAAAAATCACGCTCAGGAGTCAAATTTCCGACATTTCAAACATTTTGAAAACTGCAGGGGGGTTTGGGTAAAATATGACCCATCGCCGTTTTCAGTAATTGGCATATTTTCAGTATAAAAAGTTGTAATTTGAAACTGAAAATAGGTGCAGAGAGTCAGAATTCGGATAAAAAATCACGCTCAGGAGTCAAATTTCCGACATTTCAGACAATTTGAAAACTGCAGGGGGGTTTGGGCAAAATATGACGCATTGCCGTTTACAGTAATTGGCATATTTTCGGTATAAAAAGTTGTAATTTGAAACTGAAAATAGGTGCAGAGGAGTCAAATTTTCAACATTTCAGACATTTTGAAAACTGCAGGGGGTTTGGGCAAAATATGACCCATCGCCGTTTTCAGTAATTTGCATATTTTCGGTATAAAAAAGTCGTAATTTGAAACTGAAAATAGGTGCAGAGAGTCAGAATTCAGCTCAAAAATCACACTCAGGAGTCAAATTTCCGACATTTCAGACATTTTAAAAACTGCAGGGGGGTTTGGGCAAAATATGACCCATCGCCGTTCAATGTAATTGGCATATTTTTGGTATGAAACGTCGTAATTTGAAACTGAAAATAGGTGCAGAGAGTCAGAATTCGGATAAAAAATCACGCTCAGGAGTCAAATTTCCGACATTTCAGACATTTTAAAAACTGCGGGGGGGTTTGGGCAAAATATGACCTATCGCCGTTTACAGTAATTGGCATATTTTCGGTATGAAACGTCGTAATTTGAAACTGAAAATAGGTGCAGAGAGTCAGAATTCGGCTCAAAACTCACGCTCAGGAGTCAAATTTCCGACATTTCAGACATTTTAAAAACTGCAGGGGGGTTTGGGCAAAATATGACCCATCGCCGTTTACAGTAATTGGCATATTTTCGGTATGAAACGTCGTAATTTGAAACTGAAAATAGGTGCAGAGATTCAGAATTCGGCTCAGAAATCACGCTCAGGAGTCAAATTTCCGACATTTCAGACATTTTAAAAACTGCAGGGGGGTTTGGGCAAAATATGACCTATCGCCGTTTTCAGTAATTGGCATATTTTCGGTATGAAACGTCGTAATTTGAAACTGAAAATAGGTGCAGAGAGTCAGAATTCGGTTAAAAAATAACGCTCAGGAGTCAAATTTTTTACTGTATGAATTCCTGTTTCCTCATACCCTTAATCACTAGACCTACTAGAATCACTGATAGCACTGCCACGACGCTCGATCACATCTGGACAAACATAACCTCTCCGCTTACTTCAGGTACAATCACCGATAGCACTACAGATCATTACCCCACATTTCTCTTAACTAACATTAGCAAACCACCTCTTGAGTCAAGAGTGATACGTTTTAGACTGCACAATGAAACTGCTATAGACAATTTTATAACTGCTGCTGATAATGTCAACTGGGAGTCCGAGTTAGGTAACATAGTGGACATCAACCTTGCAGTACAATCTTTTCTTCAAAAAACTCTTAGCCTTTATAATACCCACTGTCCTATGCTTACAAAACAAGTCACAACCAAAAGGCTTAACAATCCCTGGCTTACAAAGGGAATACTTAAATCTATTAATAAAAAACATGACCTTGAGAAGAAGTATAGGTTAGGAATTGTCTCCAAAGAATTCTCAAAGAATTACTCATTATTGCTGTCTAAGATAATTAGACGAGCCAAAACTAAATACTACGAAGATAAATTTACCCAAATAAAGAGCAACATTAAACAAACTTAGAGAACAATTTCTCAAATATTGGGATCAAAGAAGTCTTTAAATAACAAACCGACTCTCCTGTCTAATAACGATGGTCAGCTTTCAGCCTCTGATTCTGCTACTGAGTTCAATAGGTTCTTCTCTTCCATTGGTTCATCCCTTGCAAATGATATTCCATCTTCCAGTACAGACATTAATGACTATCTTTCAGGTAACTATCCACAGTCTCTGTACCTAAAGCCTATTAATTCCACTGACGTCAATGAGATAATCCTTTCCCTTAAAACCAAGTCTGGTGCCCTTGAGGAGATACCAACTTTAATTTACAAAAAAGCCTCCAGTTCTTTAGCCCCTGCTATTGCTTTGCTCTTCAACAAGTCACTTGAACTCCAAACCTTCCCAGATATTCTAAAAAAAGCGAGAGTAACGCCTGTCCACAAATGTGGTAATCTCACAGATGTTAACAACTACAGACCTATATCTATCCTGCCAAACTTGTCAAAAATTTTTGAAAAACTAATCTATAAGCAGCTTTACTCATATCTAGCCAAACTCAATATACTTAGCCCTTGCCAATATGGCTTCAGACCCAAAAAAAGCACTAACGATGCACTTATTAGTATGCTTAACTCGATTCATACAGCTCTTGATAAAAATGAGTTCTCTGTTGGGTTGTTTGTGGACCTGCGTAAAGCTTTTGACACTGTCAACCACCAAAACCTTCTTCTTAAATTACATCATTATGGAGTCAGAGGACACTCCCTACAATACCTCAAATCCTACCTTACTGACAGGCTCCAATATGTTTCTGTGAATAATACAATTTCTCCCACCCTACCCATCAACATTGGTGTTCCCCAGGGCAGCATACTTGGCCCTCTCCTCTTTCTCATCTACATTAATGACCTCTCCTCTTTCTCATCTACATTAATGACCTTCCAAATGCCTCCCAACACCTCAAACCAATTCTATTTGCTGACGACACAACCTTCATTTACTCCAGTCCTGATCCCCTTGCTCTAAATGCCACAGTAAATACTGAGCTAAATAAAGTCCATCTGTGGCTAACTGCCAACAAACTCACCCTTAACATTGACAAAACCTTTTATATTCTGTTTGGCAATAAATCCTCTAATCAAATAAATCTCAAAATAAACAATACCCAAATTTGTAACAAATTAGATGGCAAATTCCTTGGCATTCTCATTGACCACAAGCTTAATTTCCAGGGACACATTCTAAACATATCAAAAAAAGTTTCAAAAACTGTGGGCATTCTTTCTAAGATCAGATATTATGTACCACGCCCTGCCCTGGTGACTCTCTATTACTCCCTTATCTATCCATATCTCAACTATGGTATTTGTGCTTGGGGCTCTACTACCCAAAATCACTTACGTCCTCTAATTACTCAACACAAAGCTGCTATTAGGACAATATCCAATTCTGGCCCCAGACACCACTCGGTACCCCTACTTAAATCTCTGAATATGTTAGACATTAAGTCACTGCACATTCTCTCATGTGTATTATACATATATAAAACGCTAAACTATAATGCCAATCCTGATCTCAA